GACGGGTCTCTGGAGGTTAGTCATTAGATGCCAGACAAGTCTTTGCCATGATTGGTTCGATGCTCTGCGACTTGATTGGTTCGACGTGTTGACGCTCTTGCGATTGTTGTTGATTGATTTGGCGTTGCTTTTCTCTTTTTTGTACATACAATATGGGATACTTTTCACACTTTTCCCTATGTACCTCTACGATATAACCTCATGACGTTCCTGATCCTCTCATGTTCTGAATCTACAGATATGGAAATTGAAGATGGTCATGTTGCCGAGCGAACTGACAGAATAAAAAGATACCCCCGGAAAATTGCAAGAACAACCTAGAATCGAACCAGGGCCATCCGTGAAGGCAGCTGTTTGGTTGGACATGCTACGATTACACCATCATCACTTCGAAGGCGAGAACAAAACATCGTACTTCAGTTCCCTTTGGACCCCGAAGGACTCCATTTCCTGGACTATATTGCGCATTTCCTCGCCTATATCGCTTTGCCATGTCTGCCATATCGAGGCATTGACGCGTCTTATCCAACGATCGGACATCGACGTCGTATCCACCGATCAGATTCTAGAATTTCGGTTTGTTGGATCACGTCCCGATAGACACTTTCCAGGAGCTCTCCGATACCATTAGATCCAGCTTGACCACAATCCACTTGGTACAAGCAAACCTGGTCGATACCGCTCCTGCGGCTCCTTAAATATCGCCGTCGCCGCCAGACCAAGCAGGTTGTGTTTCCGACTCTCACGAGCCTTTTCATCGATTTCTTTTCATTGATTTTGAGGGCCTTTTCTTTTCGTGGACTTGAAGACTTTGATGGAAGGGAAATCCAGATTTTGAGACTTTGAGACTTTGGGGAAATGCTGTTGAGACTTTTGGAATTGGGGATTTCGACAAGGGATGTTTGTATTGTATTGTGGCTTTTTCGAATAGGACAAGGTACGTACCGGATTGGGATGTTTGGGATAAAGGTGAACTTTATGGGTATGACCGTGTTGGGGTCAGGAGCCCGTGGAGTTGTGGTCAATATTCGTGGATATTTGCTTTGCGGATTTGGGGGACCGTGGTATTGACGGGTCATCAGAGGCCAGACGAGTCTTCGCCATGATTGGTTCGGCGCGAAGTTGAGGAACTGTTGTTGGCGTTCTAATTAGGGATTGACGCGTTGAGGGATTGTTGAACAATTGCAGATGGTCAAGTCGTAGAGGAAACTGACAAAATAGAAAGTTTCAGCATCCTAGGCGACAACCTGGAATTGAACCAGAGCCATCCGTAAATTAGAAAGTCGCACGTGCTACCACTGCACGCAATTCATCCTCCCCTCCATATCCGTATCCCCTCCATATCCGTAACCTCTCACATCAACCCCGTAATCTACGCCATCGCTCTGTAATCCACCCCATCAGCTCCGCGAACCTTTGGGATGCGAGAGGAGGAGAGGGAGAGGCATGTATCGGATTCAGGAGCCGGTGGAGTTGTGGACGCGGAGGTTAGTCATTAGAGGTTAGACAAGTCTTTGCCATGATTGGTTCAGATTGTTGTTAATTGGGCCTGCTTTTCTCTTTTTCGCACGATATTGGATACCTCTTCTCTCTATGTACCTCTACAATATAACCTCATAATGTTCCTTATGCTCTCAGAGATATGAAGAATGGAAGACGAGCGAATTGACAGAATAAAAATGTCAGTATCCAATAATCGAACCATTGGGATAGAGGCCAACCGTTCCGGTGGCAGATACGAGTCCCCCTCTCCCTCTCACTGTACTTGGTGCTGTATTGTAAAGCCATTCCATTGTGGTTACTACAGGACATTGTGATTACAGGCTCAAATGTTTTATTCAAGTTGGGCAAGTTTGCATGAGTTCATCAAAGCTGTTGGTGTTGCCTGCCTCATTGCCTCTATTTTGCCACCAGTCACAGGTTTGACTCCAGACACAGCCCAATGTTTCTGGGCACTACCCTGAATAGATACCTGGAAGCTGAAACATGTAAAAAAAATATCCCTTAGTCCAATGAATTTATGCTCCAGAGTCCCAGATCAATGCTTTGGGAGGCACACTGGCTCCCAAGAGCGTTGGCTGCTGCAGGATACAAATAATTGTTCCCTATATATTAACTAGTTTAAAACAGGATTCTATCTTTATTCAGTTTCGCAATGAGAATACAATCCAAATTTGCAGTCTACAACAGTTTGACAGACTCATAATAAGATTTCACCCTGTCCAACTGGATTATATTGATGTTGGCAACCCTTACTTGAAAAGAGAACCAGCTGGGGCAAGCTGGCTGCTGCAGGATATGTACCAGCATGAATAGCACAATCTCTGGCCTTTTTCGGCTAGTTAAGTACCACCAAATGCATTAAGAACTTGGCACCAATAAATTTATGGCAATTTACCTCCAACTCCCATGTCAATTGACAAGCATATGATACCCAGAAAAGGTGAAAAATGAGGATTGGCTGCATTTAAACAGCTTTGCAGCCACATTCAACTGCTGTGATCTTAATGTGATGTTATTTTGTGTCCCAAGATGATATTCTAGGAAATGTAGCTTTGATCCATGCTTTCAACCCATACTGCAACAATCAAGCAATAATATTCATGTCTAGCATTTACTTCCCAGGAATTGCCCTCTGGAACCTTGAAACTGCTCGTACTAGGGTGCTAGAAGTAACACTGAAATGAAGCATCTCAGCTGGTTGTGCGCCACTCAAACTACTCAGGATGTCTGACTCCAGCTTATTGCTTCAAACATCACTCTTTACTGCTGATTATACTATTCTATTATACTATTCCAGCATCACTGAATGGATGAATTGACACATTTGAATGAGCAGTCCTTAACTTGACCAAAAACAGGCTTACCACTTACCCCTGTGGACTATCAAGATTTTCAAGATTGGTTAGAGTAAGTATGGGTTACTGGGACATACCGCAGAGAATAAGAATTCACTAGGTGAATTTTGTACCCCTAGAGCGGTGAATAAGCTCAACAGAGTCCAATTAGATTTCAATATATTTTGCTCTTTTGCTTACTGAAACTCTACCTGCAACAGATCTGAACAGCCCTACAAATGAGGATTCAAGCCATACCTGGGCTGATTCAGGCCATTTTTCTGGCGCCTGCAGTGATCACAACTATATATCTGACCCACCCATTGAAAGCAACATGGTTACATGACAGAATTCAAACAGTAGCTCATCAGATTGGAAGGGTGAATATCATGTCCAATATTACCTGTACACTTCAGGTATACATAACAGGGAGTCTGATAACAATTTAATTAGATTTTCTGGTGCCTGTGGTGCACTGAGCACCGGTATGTGCCATCTCAAATCTCCCCACCAATGCAAGGTCACAAATTATAAGATTTCAGTGTACCTAGTGGATCAGAGAAGGTGTGACCAGATTAGGGCTATGTATTTCGCTGTTTAAATCCTTGGATCTGGTCTCAAGGATGTGAGATGTTGATGAAGATCCTGGAAATGAGGAAAACTATGGCTGAGCAAGGATACAACCTGAACAGTGTTGAAATCAGATAAAGGAGCCTGAAAATGGGCACATATATGACATTGCTGGTGTCATGTAATCTCCTTGCAATCATTGTCCTGTTGGGCTTGGAATGGTCTACTGGACAGATGGTCAAGACAAGAATGCTGGTTGTAGGAACTCCCACTGAAAAGGGAAATTCGGCGCATGACCCGGTATACGTCGGTAAGTGCACTTACCAACCCACGGATGAAAAAAAAACAGTGCCATTGGCCCTGGAATTCAAGAATACAATGGGGTTCAGCCAAAATGACAGGTGTACCAAGACATCCATGTCTGCGACAATTTGTCACCGCTTCCCAGGCCTGGGCGGACGATGAGAGCGCCAAAATGGTTGCGGCAGTGTATTAGAGTAATGCCGAGATGCCGGATTTACATTGATTTACATTTATTGTGTAAATTCTCACGATTATATGTACCTCATGATCATGATTACAGGATGGCCACGTCACGCCGGAAGCTGTGCTAGGCACATCCACTAGGTTCTTTGATGATGAGATCACGAAAATTGCTCATACCCAACAAACGAACCATCCGTAAACTCGATGGCCGGACATGCTACCATTAGTACACCATCGTCGCTTATAAAAGATGCCTCACAATTATGTACTGTGGCTCGAGCTTCCTCCTATATACTTCCTTGAAACCTGATGACCTTCCTTACGTTCTCGTGTGGCTTCGCAGATGTAGGGATGGTGTAAGAGATGATTTTTAGACTTGTCAACAATATTCGAGCGCATTGACAAAATAAAAAAAGACATCAATGCAACGGTAAAGTGGTAGGCAACAACCTGGAATCAAACCAAGACTATCTGTCAAGACAGATGTTTAGGTGGACGTGCTACCGCTACAGTATTTTACTGCCCAGTTGTACACCCAAAATCAATTGTGCCTCCCATTTGAGGCCCTCAATAGTTATGGGAAATCCCGGTATTTGGGAAGCTTCTATATATTGTCTTTCATATTGGTACCAAGTTTTATGGCAATCAGACATGTTTTGAGGAAGTTATAGCCTGATTATGTGTGTACAAGTGAGTGATATCGCGATTTGGAATATTTTGTCCTGTTTTGACGTACTCATATCTCAATCGTTTCTGGGCGGATTCCCTTCAATCCTGGATGGAAAATCTTGTATTAGAGTCCACTAATTTATGGTGATTTTACCCTGGAGCCCTACTTTGAGTGGCAGTTGTTAAACAGGTGTACAACTGATCCATAGTGTACAACTGGGCCGTCAAATACTGTACACCCTCATCACTTACAATAGGGGAACGAAAATATGAATAGATCCCAATCAAACATCCATGATAGCGTCGGTCTCCTCCTGATACTTGATGTGCCTGACCCTCTTCTCTCATGTTCTGTATATGAACAATTAAAGACGAAACAATTGAGGATGGTCATATCGTCGAGTGAACTGACAGAACAAAAAACATTCCTTGCGCCCAGGTGACGACCTGGAATCGAACCTGAGCCATCCGTAAACTCAATGTCAAACATGCTACCACTGCATCATCATGATCATCACTTGTCACTTCACCATCATGGCTTCAAAGATGTGGACGAGAATATATCCCGATCGAAAGATTGAAGATTCCAGGCGGCCTAGCACGATCGGACTTGCTGACGAGTGTCAGAGAAAACTGCCAACCAAATTCAAGGCCGACCGCTGTGTCCGCTGATAGCGACAGAAATATGAGTCCCTATGCCCTATGTCTCGAGGAGCCCAAGGTATCATCCATCTCTCTCAAGTCCTCCAAAGAACCCAAAGCGGATGTCGTCATTGGTCAATGATACTTTGTTCAGCTACTACTAGGTGAAAATGACCTGGAATCTGGATCAATACCTTCTGATGTGTTTCGCTTGTCCTTTCTTGGCATTCAAAATACAAAGCAATCTAGTCTCTATCCAGACTCCACGAGCAAGTGACGAGAAAAAGTACTTGTGTGGAGTCTGTTTTTTATCACAGGGTCGGCTCGGGGGTTCAGCCGTATTACGTACATGCGGACTTTGAAATAATTCCCATCTGCCAAATCACGGCAGGTGACGCGGCCTCATTTTCCTAGCTCGCTCAATCTCGACCTTGCGAAGCCCATGGTCCTCAGTTCTCTTCATGAATATCATCCTGAGGCCAACCAAGCCAGATGTTAGACTATAATACCCGCTCATCGTTCCTTTTTGCCCCAGTTGATTCATACCCTCAAGCCTTGCCTTAACGCTGGTTATTCTCCCTCCTGCGTCAAGCACCGACATTCATGGTTTCCCAGTCATCAGTAAATGATCATGGGCCATGCCAGACAGATTTGGGACAGTTTGGTGCAGAAGAAGCGGACCTTTTGTAATTGGTGAGCATTGGATACCTTTTTCTCTCATTTTAAATGCTAAATTCTCTCCAGGGTCACCATTCATCATGTTCTGCCGCCTTCCGAAAAATCTGTCCAGCTCAACGTGGTCAAGCAGGCCTTGTCGACTACAAACCCTTCCATCTCCAGTTTCTGCCCATTCCTCATCACAATTTGGCATCATGTAGCTCGAAAACTATAATGTATTTCCATTACTGTATTATATGCCCCGTTGAGCTGAGTAGTCGCCTTGAAATCGTGCTACAGCGCGACAGCCCATTTTCAAAGTCCGCATGTACGTAATATGGCTGAACCCCCCATATGACCCGTGGGTAAAAACTAGACTAAAAGCAATCCTAGTCTAAATGTAAAGTGGCATGACCTACTGCAGCGTTGACTGTGATTCTTCCTTTTTCCCACTTCTTCCTATGTGCCTCTCCTCATAATGTGTCCGAGTACCTATAATGTTCCTGCATCTCTCAGGTTCTGAATTTGGAATGGTCATGTCGTCGAGCAAACTGACAGAATAAAAAAGCATTTTTTGTCTGAGTCAATTCAGGCGACAACTTGGAGTTGAACCAGGGCCACGACGTTGGACGATAGTTGGACGGTCCAACGTGCTACCTCTACATCATCATCGCTTACAAGGATACGGGGATATGAATATAGATCGAAGCAAGTCTGAGCCCTCAGCCACAACTCCATTACTCAAATAGCTCTCGATTTCCACCAGGTTCATCAATCCTGCCGGCCAAAGTGCATTCATTGATATTCTCTAGCAAGCGTAACAGCGCCCATTTGAAAGCTAATGATTGAGCTATTCACCACGGTAAATACATTCCGCGTTGGTCCTTCTCAAGTGGTCCCCGGGCCCGGTTTCTGGTGCATATCCGTTGGAAGTCACTTGTCCACCACCATCGGTTTAAACTCAGTAAAACAGTCACATCTCTCTCACTGTGATTTTAGGTCATGCTCTATGTGGCGCAGCGGCCGGACACTGCCCGTACCATTGAAAATTCGATGGGACGCGAATTCAACAGACCAGCCTCGAGAAGCTAGAAACATTTTCGGCGATATGTGACGGCTGGACTTTTCCCAGGCTATTGCCTGAGGATTGCATACAGTATTTCACAAACGCGCCAAATTTGCGAAACGTCATCTGGACCATCCATATACTCACCCTGGACCGTCCGTATACTTATTGCTTGGGAGCTCAATTTACCTTCAGATGATCCACGTCAGATTCAGGTGATCACGTCAATACGGTCACGGAAACGACGTCCTGGGCAACGAAGGATTGCTGTTGATTGGGTTGCTTTTCTCCATCTTTTTTTTCTTTTACGATGTTGGATGTTTTTCCACTTTTCCTATGTACCTATGATATAACCTCATGATTTTCCTCAGTACCTATACTGTTCCTGAACCTCTCATGTTCTGAGCTTCAGAGATATGAACAATGGAAGACGAGCGAGGTGACATAATAAAAAAAGAATAGACTGCCCTGCTAGGCTGTAGATGCCTGGAGCCGGCTTTCTACATCTTTCGGAGTATTCTGTAAGTCAGTATTAGTCATATTTTCTAGGTGTACAAGTCTGTGGTAATTTAGTAGGATCCTTGTCATTTGAATGCAAGAAGGGTTCCCTGACAATTGGAGCACTTTGACCTATTTACCCAACAGAATTGTGCAAGAAATTAAGCTGGAAAGTCGCCACAAACTCATGGGTATCTGTGTTTTTGGAATATTGGAAACTATTTCCGGCATCTCCAGAGTACAGGAAATGAAGCTCATGTGCTTATATCGGGTGCTCTAGAGATAGATCTTGCTTGTTGGCAATGACATTGTTTTGCTGGCCCCATTGTTGGTCATGAGTCATCGAAGCTGAGAATGCTCCTTCTACCAATGACTCTTTTAATCCATGGTGCAATTACTGACCCCACGATTCTCTCAAAATATAGAACAACAAGTCTTCCACTCGCCTTGATTTTTGATAACCAAGCAGCGTGATCCAACGGCTCTGGTGCGAATTTCAACGACAAAGGAGCCAGTTTTGACAGCCAGTTCTTGCCTGTTGGACAATGGACATATGATAGCATTTCTGTATGCAAGGATTTTCTTGAGAGATTCGTTGCTGACAAGACTTCCTCTATAGTATGACATAGGCTGATTCACCCTCCATAGTGTGACCCAGCATCTAATGTATGAAGAATCATAGGTCTGAAAGGATTTTTATTCACTATCATCCCTTCAATTCTCTTTGTGTTCTCCTCTGCTGACAAAAATCTAGTGGGAAACCCTGCTGGTTATTATCTACCAGAAGGTCTGCATTCAGCAGATATGCCTTCAGTGCTAAGACACTAATCTCGAGATCTAGAGCCGCTCATCCATATTATATATTCTCCCCCTCGTGCGAGATAGACTTTGGTTCACCCAAAGGCACCTTCCCAGTCAATCCCACCAGTATTGAAGTCAGTATCTCACTCATATATCTCTCACATAGACACTTATATGTATCTCTGAGCGGAGGGCAAGGAATGCATTGATTTCTTGAAGGATGAAACCGTCAAGGCCAAGTTCGCCGAGGCTAAGACGCTCTCTAATGTCGACGCCGCCAATATGATGTCATATTCTATCCCGGTGGCCATGCCCCAGTTATCGACCTTCCACAGAACCCATTGAGTATCAAACTCGCATCAGATGTCAGTACCAGTCCATCCAGCTACTTCCACGTGAAAAACTCATTGATGCTACAGTTCTATCGTGCTGGAAAGATCACTGCTGCAGTCTGTCATGGAACTGCGTGAGAGTTCTGGTTCGACTGAAATTTCAACATGACTGACCAAATATAATATATAACAGAGCTCTAGCTGAGGTCACAGACTCGCAAGGCAAATCCATCTTCATAGGAAGTCCTTCACAGGATTTTCCGATGCTGAGGAGGAAGCCTTGAACGTCGTTGCTGTTTCCGATGTTTTGCGATCAGCGGATTCCATTCCTTCTCGAAAATAAAATCACGGCTTTGGGAGGGAAGTACGAGAAGGCAGACGAGCTTTTCGGGGTAAGAATATCACTTGATCAACGTTCATTTCATTGCTGACACAGTTTTCAGGTCAAGGTTGTCGTGGATTGAAATCTGTATACGGGACAGAATCCGAATTCAGCTGGACCATTGGCCAAAGAGATCCTTGCGGCCTTGAACAAATGAACGTGAAAATACTCGACAGGAAATGATGAGATGTCATAACCAATTTTATCTCCATAGATTCTATATGCTCTCTGCTTCGCAAGATATTAGTCACATTGATATGTTAGAATCTGCAATTTGAAAGTCAAGCTGGCACACACAACACAGGCTCATGGGTTCCACATGTCAGGCCGAATCAAAAACAGACCATTGTCAGTGCTCGAGTACTGTTTCGTTCATGACTTCAAGTTGCAGCTTCTCGAATATCAATAATGTGAATGGCCTGTTCTAGGTTGAACTAGCGCTTGGGTCAGGTGTCAGCTGAGATTAATTAGGTTATCCATTGAGCACGTGACATGGTAGCAATCTTGTATAAATAGACACGTCTTCCACGCTCCTTGTCCTCAACCACCACCACCACCACCACAGATTCTTGTGGTTCACTAGTCAAGAATCAGCTCAACTGGCCTATCTACGAGTTACTTAGACAGATATCGATGGCTTGTATAAACTGCAGCTTCTTACCAGTTGCACGGACTGTTGCTCCAATCACATCAGCGGCCCGTGAACAGATCCTTCAGGCCTCACGGGAGAATGTTCTTCCCAGCGAAGTTCAGGTCTTGGAGATGAACTTGATCTTTGCTGCGCCACTCAAATAATTTGCATGTACTGTTCGGCAGCATTTGAAGCACCTCGTGTGGTATAAATGGATCATCTTAGAGGTATAGTACTTCAAAATTTGATGTACCTCCATCGTACCAGTGGTGTAGAGGCCAACAGGTTCCCCGTGGCATATACGAGTCCCCCTTTTTTCATCTCGGCATATGTTGTGAATGCTCTCAAGGAGTCGGCTGAGATACCCCAATCCGACAGGTTGAAGCTTGTGGCAGAAGAAGACTGGGAGGATGATTCTATCATCAAGTTGGCGAGGCGCACTAAACGTGATAGAAACGTGCCCGGGGTTGGGAACTAATAACATCCTGCCTCACTACAGCCTT